CCGGGGTGAGTTAAGGAAAGAGTCACAGACCAAGAGTATCTGCTGAGCCACAAGCCAGGGTGAATAAAAATCAATGATTTTTTTTTAAAAAAATCAAATTGATTTAAATCACAATATATATATATATACACATAAAGTTTTAAACTTTAAATCATGATTTAATTTGATTTGATTTAAATCAAATCTACCCTGCCGCAAGTGCTCCCTCCTGATTTACAAAAGTATAAATCTGCTATTATGGACCATATTTTTCTGATCACAGCTTGTCTCCTCTTTTTTAGGAGACAATCTGATGCAATAGGAAAGGGTAAGCTACTGTAGCAGATCAGACACAATCTTATTATGAATTGATCTGGGGTACCATGCTGAAACTTAGTAGATTTTCAAGATGACATTATATTGTGAATTTATTATTCGTTTAATGCAGACTTCATGCCCAAAGAGTACCCATTACTGTTTATTTGTTAAATTTATATACCACCTTTGCTTTACGGTAGTAGGTAGTGGATCTCCTCTATCCCATTTTATCTTCACAGCACTGACTGGCCCAAGGTGAGCCAGTGAGTTTCACAGCTGAAAGGGAATTTGAACACAATTCTCCCAAATCATTGGCCAGTACTTTGACCATTAGACAACACTGACAATGTTGCCTTCCTCCAGATCACCCACAGCTTTTGTCAGATGCAGGATTCCCACTTCTTCCTCTCCATAGCAACCCCTCAGCCCACCTTCAGTCATGAATGTGACAAGGGATCCTCCTCAGTGCAATGGCCTGTGGTATGGAGAGTATAGGAGGTCTCTGAAAATTGAGTTGAAAAATACCTTCTATGAAAGGTGCTATAGAGAGACATGATTCATATATGTATATGGATCCAATTTCCAGGATCAAAATAATTCTAATTCATATTTGAAGTTGATGGGAGATGGTAGAGAGAATATGTTTAATTGCTATTTTAATATGCTTTAATAATTCAAAAACCTTATTAGGGTTGCTGTAAGTTGTAAGCAACATGACACATAACAATGATAAAACTACAGCGTATAACTGATTGCTCTTTTGTACACAAAGAGGGAGTTACACAAGAGTTAGTAATTAATTTCTTTTACTGATGTGTTTTTTTCTCTTTGCCTCTCAAAGGTGGTCGTAGAACTTGGCAGATCTGAAAGGTTGAGGTCAGAAAATGCAGTTTCTCGAAATAATGCCTTTGAAAAGGAAGAGTTGCACAAACATGCCCCTTTGTTTCTAAAGCAGCCAGACGTTCATAGCAATACAAAAAGGATTTTGGAGAAAGACGGATATCCCATCTTGCTGTGGTGGTCTCCACTGACAGGAGAGACTGGGCGACTGGGTCGGTGTGGGGACGACACCTGTTTCTTTACTATCAACAGGACTTATCAGCAGGAGCCTATGACAAAAGCATTTCTGTTTTATGGTAAGAGGCTGGCCAATTTGATTCTTCCAGAAAATGCAGGATTTTTTACTATGCCCCAGATCAGTTCATATATACAGTGGCTGTTGGGTTCAAAGACAAGTAGAAGCTGCCATAAGATGTTGCAGTTTGTTTGTGCTCCTATGTGGGCTTTCACCTTCTTCATCCCATTCCTTACTCACATGGATTTCCACCCCAATTGTGAAAGGTCAGTGTGCTTTCCCTAATGGGTCACCCTACCCCTTCCTGCCACCAATATTTTAAATCATGATTTAATTTACTGAATGAAATCTCATTTCAAACAACTGGTTTAAATAAAGTTTCTCGTGATACTTCTTCATATATTGTTTTGAATAAACATGGAAATCTGATCAATAAAATATGTTACATTACACATCATAAAGTAGTTTATGATGTCCAGGAGGGTGCATATAACAAAAATAAAAACAAAAAATTCATGGCACCATAAAATACTAACACGTTTATTTCAGGTAGAGTTTGAATGGCTTATAGTCTGTTTCATCAACCACAACCCTCTTCGTGACTGCATTTGATATTGGCTGGGACTCACAGAGACAGACAGACAGACACACACACACACACACACACACACAGACACACTGGGATGGAGGCTTGAAGATGAGCCTCATTAGAGAGGATTTAACCTCCTTCATTGCAGTAATCCTGTTTAAATTCCCTGTAGTACTGTGGTACCTCGATTTGCTAACTTAATCCGTATTGGAATTAGGTTCGTAGGTCGAAAAGTTTGCAAATCGAGGCAAACTTTCCCATTGGAATGCATTGAAAACCATTTAATCTGTATCTGCTGTTTTCCGTTCGTATGTCGAGGTGCTGTTCGTAGGTAGAGGCATTAGTTCCCATAGGAACTAATGCAAAGCCAGTTAACCCATACTCTACCACTAGGGGGTGAATTTTTAATTTTTTTTTCTTCTTTTGACCTAAGGTGAACTTAGGTCAAAAAAAAAAAAAGACAGGAAAGGTTTTTCTTTCTTTCTTTCTTTTTGGTTCATAAGTCAAGGCTCCCTTCGCAGGTCGAAGCAACTTTTTGCAAACAGAGCTGTTCATAACTCGAATCGTTCACAAGTAGAGACGTTCGTAAGTCGAGGTACCACTGTATCTACCTGTGTTGCTGTAGTAGAACAAGCCATCATCACAGTTCAGACCTAAATGGATCAAATTAAAGTTCTTGATATGATCTAATTCAGAACCGTCATGCTGGAATCTCCTGTTTAACTTTTTTGTAGGAGAAACTTGACACACAGAGTTCAGCAAATGGTAAGAATGTTCATGGACCAGCACCACATAGGTTTAAGTTCAGGGCTAGGAATTTCAAGCAGGTAACATACCTCCCAAAACTGTCAGCAAATTTGAGTGGGAAGCCATACTGCTAGATTTCAGTGGCAACTGGGAAATGGTTTACATTAAATGTGTTGTAGCAATGTATTGCCCAAATGTTATGTTGGGAAAAACCTGTTTAAAGAAATCAAATGCTTTTTTTGCATATGAAATTGGCCCCTCAGACCTGCTCAAATTGCCCATGTTTGGCTTAGTTTTTTTCAGCCAAGTGATGGATTAGGATGCCAATTTTCAACTGCTTCCTCAGAATCCTATCAATCATTCTCTGTTTCCACTCCACCCCCCATCTGAGCCATTTCTTATCATCTCAGGCATTTCTGAAGGCTTATAGTCTTATTGACTGAGGTGAATTGTGGCATAACAAATCCATCAGTCACCTCAGTACTTTCACCTTCAAAGTATTTGTCTTTAGGCTTCAGATTTTTTGTGTTCCCAATTAATTAGCTGAGGCTCCTTCCTTTCTTTTCTTAACGAAATTTCCAGCTTATTTGTGTTTAATATAATTGAAAAGCAGGAATATCTACTCTAGGAATATCATTGTTTCTGAGATTATGGTATTTCTTTCTGATCTCTGAATTGCAGATTTTGTACTCTGAATTATTTTGTAAAAGTTTCAGTTTCTGAAAGCCAATCCAACAGGTGCAGAGTAACAGTGCAATCCTATATGTCTACTTACAAGTATGCCAGTCCCATTGAGATCAGTGGATATTAGTCTCGTATAAATAAACACAGGATTAAAGCTTTATTCTCTTTCAAACTGGCCTTATAAGCCTAAGAAGATGCAGCGTAAGAGTAAATCCTGTACTCAAAATGCAGGGGGAAAGGCTGTGATAAACATATTCTTTATATAATACTTCTTCGAAGAACATTTTCTCCATAATTCACGATTAGAAACAGGAAGAATCACTCATGTGTTTTCTCCATAATTCACGATTAGAGACAGGAAGAATCACTCATGTGCATATACATATGAAATATTTTTCATTTCTTCAAGAGTTAAATAAATTCGTAAGAGTAAATGCTGTACTCAAAATGCAGGGGGAAAGGCTGTGATAAAAATATTCTTTATATAATACGTCTCCGAAGAACATTTTCTCCATAATTCACAACTAGAGACAGGAAGAATCACTCATGTGTATATGCATATACATATGAAATATTTTTCATTTCTTCAGGAGTTAAATAAATTAAATCTGATTTTCTTTCTGAATGGTTCGGCATTTAGATACTACATAATCATAAACCTGGTCTGTTAGAATGGATTGTTTTTTAGCCTAAATATCCATGTACAAGAAGGAAAGTTATCATCAGGATTGGGGAAATGTCATTGTTTTCAGAAGCGCATGTAGCTCGCAAAATTTTGTGGGGGAGGAAGAGGCAACCAAAATCAACCCAAGGAAGACTGAGCACACTGAATAACTGCAGAAAGTTGAATGCATCTGGTGAGGAGGCTAATAAAAAGCTGAGGGACAAAGGAACTGGGCTATTTTGGAAAAAAGGCCTGACCAGAACAAGAGTTCGCATTGTGATGCTTTGCTGCAAAACTCCATTTGTTCTAGCATGTTACTAAGGTACTCTTGGGGGAGGGAACCATGAGGAAAGTGGTAGCACCTAGTTTCTGAAGAGGTCTTTGATAATATGCGGTATGTACCATTTAGGGAAGCATGGCCAGATGGAATCAAAAATGTCCTTTTTTTTTTTAATCAAAAGGAATTATCTTCTTTTTTTATTTGTCTTTGTAACATTGAGGTACCGACTTCAGCATAGATGGCTTGCCTCTGCCTCGTGAAGACCACCATGACTGGGCCCTTTTCCATGAAGAGTCACCTAAAAACAATTACAAGCTTTTCCAGAGACCTGTCATCACCCTGTTTAACCACACTGCCACTTTCAGCCGCCACTCTCATCTCCCACTGACCACTCAGTACCTTGAGAATATTGAGGCCTTAACGTCCTTGAAGCATGTGATTTCTTTGCAAAAAAAGAACAGCCTGAGGCAGACGTTGGCACCACTTGTCTATGTACAGTCAGACTGTGACCCGCCATCTGACCGAGACAGTTACATAAAGGAACTAATGACCCACATTGAGGTGGACTCCTACGGGGCCTGCTTGCATAACAGAGATCTGCCTGAGCATCTCAGGGACCCAGCCTACATGGACAGTGATGAGTTTTACGAAGTTCTTGCTCAGTATAAATTCATCCTGGCTTTTGAAAATGCCATCTGTGAAGATTATATCACTGAGAAACTCTGGAGGCCCCTGAAGCTGGGAGTGGTACCTGTTTATTATGGCTCTCCCAGTATTGGCGACTGGCTTCCAAGCAATAAGAGTGCGGTTCTGGTCACGGCGTTCTCACATCCGAAGGACCTGGCCAGGTACATCCAAGTATTGGACACGGATGACAAGGAATACGAGGCTTACCTAGAGTGGAAGCTGAAAGGTGACATCTCCAACAAGCGGCTGCTGGCTGCTATCAAGGAGCGCACGTGGGGAGTGCAAGATATCATGAAGGACAATTACATAGATGCCTTTGAGTGCATGGTGTGCACTAGAGTATGGGAAAATATCAGAAGACAAGCAAAGGTAATTAGGAATGTGTCTGTCCTGTTTCCTTCTGGCCCACCGTATGCTGAGTCAGACTATCAGGAGGAGTTACAGTGGTGCCTCGCTAGACAGTTACCCCGCATGACAGTTTTTTCGCTAGACATTGACTTTTTGCGATTGCTATAGCGATTCGCAAAACAGTGATTCCTATGGGGGAATTTCACTGGACAATGTTTGGTCCCTGCTTCGCAAACCAATTTTCACTAGACAACGATTTTGACAGCTCCCTCCACGCTCGCAAAACAGGTGTTTTCAGGACCTAAGCTTTGCAAGACAGCAATTTAAACAGCTGATCGGCAGTTCGCAAAGCAGCTTTCCTATGGCCGATCTTTGCTAGACAACGACGATTCTTCCCCATTGGAACGCATTAAACAGGTTTCAGTGTATTCCAATGGGGAAATGCTTTTTGCTGGACAACGATTTTGCTAAACAGCTATTTCAGTAGAATGGATTATCATCGTCTAACAAGGCATCATTGTACTCAGAAGCAGGTCTGAAGCCCGAGAGCCATTGAGGTGTAATGCTTAGACTGTCAGACTGAGACTCGGGGATCTAGGTATAGTTCCCTTCTGAGCCATGAACCTTACTGGACCTTGGGCTAGTCACACTTTCTTAGCCTAACCCACACTCCCAGTGCTGTTGGGAGGATGAAATAAGATGGAGGAAAGGTATGTATTCTGTCATGAGCTCAGTAGAGGAAAAGCAAACTACACATGCAGCAAACCACATTCTAACTAACAAAAGCAGGGCCATCAACAAGCTCTGCAGGACCAAGGAGAGCACCCTGGGGAAAGCAGGCAACATTCTGTATTTCACACCAGCTTCTCTCCCCACCCACCCCAACTGGTGAAGTAGAGATGTGTTGGACTCCCATCACCACACAGGTAGCATATTGTAGGGGATGTAGGAATTGTAATCCAGCACATCTAGAGGGCACCAGATTGGGTGTGTGTGTTGAGGGCTAACATAGAGGGGGGTACGATTATAGCTTCAGCCAGCCTCGGTCCCACATTGTCATATGTACCAGATGTGTATGGATTTCCTTGTTGAACCCACTTTTCAGCCATTTCCCAACTGCAGGCAACTATATGAGAGGAGCCAAAGGTAGTTTCAGCAATCCTTTTCAGTATATTTTGCTGCTTTGTGAAAGCAATATTTCTAAACACTAATCTCTGAGGTTTAATTGAGGGTACAACTACACAGCAAGGGAAATGCAAACTCACTTGTGTTGACTTGGTGTGAAATTGCACAAGGGAATTTGGGTTTCCCTCACTCTCTTTGCATTAATTAGCTAGACAGAGAGGAGGAGAGCCTTGTTTGCAGCTCTTTTTATAATCCTGCAGTTGGCACCATTACAAAGGAACTACCTTACAAGCTGTAAACAAGCATTCCCTTCCTCATTTCCTCGTCATCGTATCTTTAAAAAAAGCCTTGCAGATGGAGAAGAATTTTGCTTTCTGTTGTTATGCTGGCATGGTGTTTTTTCTGCATTCGTTCAAACAATCACGCACCTGTACTAATGTAAATCCATCTGTAGCCCCAACAGCAAAAGCAAAAACTATGGAGTAGGGGAGACTCTAGGCTGATTCGCATTTCCTTTTATATCGTTTTTTTAAAAAAGTAAATCAGCCCATCCTAATCCCGGAGCATTTCCTGCATTTTTAAAATTGATGTAGTCACTCCCTGAACCCTGGGAATGGGTGGGTAGTCCTGCTTCTGGAAAAAAGATAAAGATAAAATATTTCTTAAAAATATGTACAGTATGTATATATTATATTCCACTGTTAGATTATACTCCTAGTTCTGCAGCAGGGTGGACAGAAGGAAGACCGGGGTCTTGTGGTAAATTATTGTGTGATATCAAATATATCTGCAAGAATTTGTGATTCCCAGTTGTTTAAAAACAGAACAACAAACACAACTATTAATATTCCCATTACAGTGGTGTCTCAATTTACAGAATTAATCCGTATTGGAAGGGTGGCCATAACTCGAAAGTTTCATAAGTCGAAGCATCATTTCCCATAGGAATGCATTGAAAACCGATTAATCCGTTCTGGCAGAAGAAAAAAAATACCAGAAAGAAAAAGAAAAGAAACAGAGCAAGTCATGACAGCCACCGTGGGAGGCGTCCCGAGGTTTCCCACCACTCTGACAGCCACCGCCGGGGAAGCCACGGCAGCTGTCACGGCGACGGAGAAGCGGTGGTCAGAGTGGTGGGGAACCCTGGGAGGCCTCCCATGGCAGTGGTCAGAGCGGCGGGGAAGCTCAGGATTTTCCCGCCTTTTTCCTTTTGTAAGTGGAAGCTCCGGCCTCAAGTTGAACCAAAATTTTGCAGCTGGAGCTTTCCATAACTCGAAGTATTCGTAACTAGGGATGTCTGTAAGTCTAGGCACCACTGAATACTACTAAAGCGAAGAAAGCTAGGTTTTTGTGTAGATGGTCATCAACACAGTTTAGCTCTTGTTCTCAGAATAAATCCTTGGTCTCAAAGCTCTTCAGTTGAACTGTATTTTTTTTGTAGCTGCTTCTGGTTGATATGTCACAACAAGGTTTGCCCATTTCTTTTCTATAACACAAGATTTTCCTCAGGACTAAGCCCCGAGAGCAGAAAACAAAAACATGTCAGTCCCATATTATATGTTTCAGGGAGGCCCCAAACCAGAAAAATGAAAGATGGTTTCTGTGCAGGAGTGGGCAACGTATGGCCCCCAGTTCCCCCTCCAAACACATCTCCAAAAATATTTAAGCATTTTCTTGAAAGAAAATGGTACCTGATAGGTGGGTGTTTGGAGGGTGTTTTTTTTTTTTTGCCATATTTGAAGAAATATGCAACATCCTTGGCCCCTCTTAACTCCCCAATGTAAATTTAATTTTTTAAAAGAACCTTTGGCCACTATAGCGCACAAGGGAACTTTAAAAGTACCTGCTTTTTTTGTAATAAATTTTGCAGAGGGGTGAGGTTTGTGGGAATAGCTGGCCCTCCAAGGCTTGGGGTGTGTGTTTGTGTATGCAGTCTCAAAGCCTCTGGAAAATCACCCACTGCTGTTTGTGGGGGTTTATTAAGCCCACTTCTCCAGTACCATGTGATGGTTAAAAAAAAACCTGTGAGTCTGCTTCTGTTTTTTCCTAGGGAATGTTACCAATGAGGTGGAATGCAGAAGCCAACCATTTGAGCTGCCCCAGACCTCAGGTGTTCCCTTTTCCCTTTCCAAATACGCACAGAACGGCTTTACAGGAGATGTGGATACCAAGCTTTGAACAGTCTAAAAAAGAAGCTCGTGCACTGCGGCAGCTGGTGGAGAGGAACCGGAATTTCACCGCTCAGGAGTTCTGGAGCCTGGTGTTTCGGGAATGAATTTAGAAGATCACGGGCTCTTGACTTAAGCCAAGAAAAAAACAGCAACCGACAAGAAAAGAGCCACCCAGGAAAAGGAGCCTCTATCAGAGGCTGTTGTTTGTATTGCCTTAAGAAAATAGGAAGTAGTTTTAACAACTGAATGTATAATAGGAAAACATGGTATTCAGTGAATACTAATCACGAAGGAGGAGGATCCCATTGGATCATCTTATAATGTATACTAATATTTAGTATAAATTATTAATATAGACTATTAGTATAGCTAACATTGGAGCCTTATGTTGAAAGATAAATGCCACATTAAAAGAAATGGGCATGTCTTAACTGTTACAATGTTTTCATTGCAGACATGCAGTTCTTCCAAAATTCAGGGGCTGACCGATCAGAAGATTGTGTAGGCATTCTGAATCACAGACCAAAAGCAAACTGAGAGGTCTTTAAGGGCAAATGATAACAATAAATAAACAAAATTTCTGTTTTTTTCTGTTCTCCAGGAGCACTGCTTTTCACTTTATATCGAGGTAGTGTTGGTGCATAACATGCCCCCCCCAAACAAATAAAAAGGAAATGCCATTCCAGACATTTCCTGATGGTTTTTATCCCCACAATGACCACAGAATGACAATTTTTAGACCCCGTGTGAATCACAATCCTGGTCCCTGTACCCCCTGAGCTTGCCCATCTCTGCTCTAAGAAAGCTGAGTTTCTAGTGACACACTCTTTTATCCACATAGACCCAAGGGCACACAGCTAGTGTATGGTTCTCCCAGGCCATCAGTTGTCCTCAGATAAGCATTCTGCCTTCTGCACATGTGGTTCTGCTTCCTGGTATGTTTTGCAAACCACTCAAGCAACAACTCTCATCCAAAAGCTGGGTGGTAGTGGTTTATGGCACTGTTTCTTCTGGGTTACTCAGGAGTTTTGGACTGCAACTCCCAGAAGCCTTCACCACCAGCTGTCCTGACTGGGGTTTCGGGGAGTTGCAGTTGAAAAACACCTGAGTAACAAAGGTTAAGAACCACTGGTTTGTGGCACTTGTTTACATGCAAGGAAGCCTTGCACAGAAATCCTAGATAACTATAAGGGCAAATGGAGTCTTGCAAAGGAGGTCTTCGACCAAGAGCCTTCAGATGTTGGCCCACAAGACAAGATCAGCTGTCTGCTGATGTCCTTGCCCCTGTTTGCTTTGAAGACTAGAACACCGACATTTTTTTGTTCTGCAACTCCCAGAATTCCCTGCACGGAATTCTGGGAATTACATCCTGCCAAAAAGTCATGTTTCCAAACACAGAGCACACGCCGTGCTACCTCATGAAAAGGAAAAATACAGCTAGGGCAGTCATTCGCAGCTGATCTTTGCAAAGAGGGAGGGGGAAATCAGCAGAGGAATCTATATATGTTAGCCAGCTCTATAAAAAGGGTATAGCCACCAGAAATAAGGGAGCAGCTGCTCAGTGTTCACACGTTCCTGTTGGTACACAGAGAATGAGGGATGCTTAAGGAGCATATGCTTTCGTTGCATCAAAGCAAGACGGACACCTGTTAAATGGCTTGTAGCTCCTGATAGCATATTTTTTCTGGTACAACAAGCTTTCAGTGACAACCTCCTGAGTGGTGTCTCCAGTTATACCTGCAGCGAATCTGACCTCTGTGACCAAACACCCTCTGTGATGAGTGGAAGGGATCAGAGCCTTTCTGTTGCTCAGCGTGTCTGTGCATCGGCCGTACCCTTGGCATCAGCTGTTTTAGCTGAAACTTGGCCAGCTGAAATTTCCTGATATGGAAGAAGAAAATGTAAAATGCATTAGTACTTGGCACCCATACTTTGACATCCAGACACCGCCGTGGGAAGTAAAGAGCCTGGTTAAGATTTACCCACCACCTGGTGTTTTAAAAATGGGATATTAAAAGGCAGAAGCTGTATTCCAAATCCTTAAGGACTCTTTCTCTTTGCCACAGAATACAGCAGAATAATGATTTCCCTCCTATTATTCAGCCTTGGTCAAAGCATGTAACTGTTACAGGTAACACCATTGCCTGTTCCTAGCTGCTTCTGGGTAACGAGGATTTAAGGTTGCTTCATTGTCTTTGAACTTTAGCTTCATTCAATTTTTATACAATGAATAATGGCTGGAATCCTGCTGGTGTTTGTGTAAGAGATGTGATAACTTGTCACAACTAATTGATAAGATACTGGCGCATGTCTCGTGACCAGTTGTGTAGCCAACATGCACCCTGGCACCTCATTAAATGCAATTAGCTGTAGTGAGTGACAGAAACTTATATGTAAACCCAACAGAATTACAGCCAGCATCTCCCCATTACTTTCAACAGTCACATTTAAAGACCACTTTAATGCATTTTTAGAGAAGTTTTGATAGAACCTTCCCAACTTATATTCCATTCTTTTATTAATCTTTAGGGTTAAGCACTGCATGTTTTGTGTTCTGTGTTTTCAAGGTTCCTGGTTAAAAAGCCAAAGAAACCTGGGATTTGACCTGGGTTAAAAAATGTGCTGAATTTCACACAATGAATTCCAAAGTGCATATTTATTTTCCTGACTCAGTTGATTTTCTTTGAAAGCAAGTTAAAATGAATGGCCACTAGAGGGCAGTTTATTTTAGTGTGCTGTTGTTTTAATCTACTTAAGTCTATTGTGAACCTTACAATCAGTTTTAAAAGGAAGCCTCTCCATGCATACCTGATTTAAGAACACAAGCTGAAACCATATAGTCTCCCAAGTGGGTACATGAACAGAAGAAGATATGGAACGCAAGAAGTTAGAAGGCAAGAAACAACTCAAAAACATGTGACCTGAGTTGGCTAAAATTAAAATGCTACATATTGTGTGGTGTGTGTGTGTGTGTGTGATTTTTTTAAAATAAATGTAGACAGGTCCAGTGCTTCCCTGTATTTTCCTAGTATGCCACATTGTAGCACAACATGTTATAATGCAACATATTAATAGAACAAAATGAAGTGAATCACGTCTGGGAGCACAGCAGCAATAAGAAAAATTGGAACTTGGCTCCCACAAATGAATGAATGAATGAATGAATGAATGAATGAATGAATGAATGAATGAATAAATAAATAAATAAATAAATAAATAAATAAATAAATAAATAAAATGTTCCAGGCTCTGGTATTTACAGTGCAATCCTGTGTGTGTCTGTTCACAGTTTTACTGTGGCCAGTGGTCTTTTATTCTGAGTAAATATGCAGACAACTATGGTCTTAATTAGTCTTGCACTAATACACCCCTGCAATATTTGTCTCCTGCAATGCCCTCCCATCTACTGTGGCACCTTAGTATTAGCAGGTTAACCTCAAATGTATTTTGTATGGTTATAGTCAGTACTAGATTTTTTTCTTTTCTTTACGATGGTCTCTTTGAACATATGGCCATATTGTAAAGCTAGTTCAATTTATATCCCCCAGGGCAGTCATTTTCAATGGGCACATTTGAAGGGGGCCACAGACTGGAAGCAATTCTTCACACGTCACCTTATAAGGTTCATTATGCAACTTATGCAATCCTGATTTTGCCTATATTTCTTTAATATTGTGTTCATGGCCATGCCCCCCGCCACAAATAAAGTTAAGAATGGCTGCTCTAAGGCAGTGGTTCCCAACCATTTTTGTCAGTTGCATACCCCTTGGCAGCGCATTTCCAACTATATTTCTTTTATATTGTGTTCATGGCTATCTCCCCCCACCACCACAAATAAAGTTAAGAATGGCTGCCCTAAGGCAGTGGTTCCCAACCATTTTTTTCAGTTGCATACCCCTTGGCAGCACATTTCCACAAATTGTGCACCTCATATTAGCAAAATGTGCGTGATTTGCTGGTCTCACAGGACTGAGGTGCCTGCTTATACTGTATATACATCAGCACTGGTGTGACAGCACTTGAATGAGACTGAGGTGCCTGCTTATACTGTATATACTGTACATCAGCATTGGTGTGACAGCACTTGAATATTTGGGAAGCAGAGAAGAATGAAAGCTGAGGCTGTGAGGGGTGCACCACCAAGCATAAATGCTGCAGCGGCATGTTTCCAACAAATTGTTTAGGGAGCACCATTTGCCAAAATAAAGTGAGGGAATGGGGCTTTTCTTGAGGTTAAATAATGAAGAAAACCTGCTCCGGCAATTGTCATAACATTCAATTAATTTCATAATTTTGACTTGTATCTTGCCTTCCACTGTTGACATATGTGCCTTTTCCTGCCATTATTCAGTGTTTTCATGTATTCCTAAATGTTTTGGTTTGAACCCCTGGTGGTATTCATACGCCAGGTTGGGGATCACTGCCCTAAGGGGATCAGATGGCCATAGATTTTACTCTCTCTACCTGGCTCTTTTGCTTTGGGGGTGGTGGTGGTGCCATGATTGGTGAAGGAAATAGATTTCCCTCCTATATACCCATAACTTGCTCTGCAAGACAAGTCATTCCTGGATGATGTGAAGAAAGGCAGTAATGGATATTTGATCCAAATGTTAGTCACTTTTAGTAACGGTGAGAAAATTAAAGTGGAATCTCTTGGCTCCAAGAGTGTACCATCCCCGCAGCCTGCCACATGAGAGAGTTTAAGACCACGTATAGCCTCTTATTCCTTGTGGAAGCTTTACAGATAATATCAGTGGGGGAAAGAGGAAGGAAAGACTTAGGACCCCAGACAGGAGGGACCGCTCAAGGCAGGAAACTCGGGGAGAGCAAGAAAGAGCCACCTCATAGTGGAGGAGGAGATAAGCGAGGGGATGAAGAGGTAGAGAAGGCAGAGGAACAGGAGAAAACAGGAAGAAGAAAAAAGGAAGATTTCCTGATAGGATGGGGTGGATAGACCTAGAGGACACCTGGAATAAAGTCCGGATGAAGCTTGTCCATAGAGGAGATCAAATGAAGGCATAAACTGGTTCAAAAGCTTTCATATTGGGGAGAGAGGGACAGAATGAGCAATAGAAAAAAAAGAAAAGGAGTCGAGGTCCACTTATCAGAACCAGAGGGAATAAGATGGACCATTACAGTGTGTCCCAAGGGGGAAGGTCTCTTGAGGGAGGGAGATCCTT